CCTAACTTGGAATCCTGAAGAGAAACCGAAAAAGGGAAGACTAAAGAACACATTGCGTAGAGAATTGAAAGCATACATAAAAATGATGAATAGCAACTGGGAAGGATTCCCCAGTTAAAAGTTCGATGGAGAATGCTGGTGCGTGACTTATGCTCCTACACTAGGGTAACAGGCGTAAATAAGTAAGAATGATTGCTGAGCGTTTTTAAATACCAGTAAGCATCTCATGTAGAGCATACTAAATAATAAACACTACGGAATCATAAAAAAAATCAAATTAGATGGAAATCCATAGTCACCATACCAGACCAAAGGTGCGATTTAGTCATTGTAAACAAGAATGATTGTATGGATGTGTCTTCCACTCGATAAAGTCCTATCTTACTGGAGATTTTTGAACTCTATTGAGATTATGAAACATTGTAAGTTAGACAACGCTAACCCTGAGTGATGAATGTCAGAAAGCAACAGCTTTGAACGTGTCCGATGGGGTTCAGTCTGGAACTGAAGTAAAAAAATTAGTATATTTTTACTTGATCTCTTAAAAACAAATCCGAGAGATTTATTTAGAAAAAGTGCTGATACGTCTCTGACAAACTGTCGATATTGCTCACGAACACTAATTTACAGTCTGATCACTACATAGTTTTCCTGGACAGTTAATGAACACACGATTTCCAAAACAACTTATCCGACTGACTTTTTCATGACCATCTCGACATGTTATAAAAGAATTAGTGATTGACACCAGACACATTGTATTTACAATTCCCCACGTTCGTAATTATTGGATTACATGGTATTTCATCATATGGTTCAGGACTTCTAAATACTCATATTCTGTGTGACATGTCCAGTATAGAAACTTGCAAAAGTATTCATTCGTCCAAGTTCCCACATCACACTAGGATAACGAGATAAAACTATCAAGAGACGTCCAATAGTAAAGACCAGACTGAAAGAAAAAATACAAAAGGAGACTTCGGTACTAGAGTTTTAAGGGAACATAAACAGTGAGTGGACACACACCCTTACAAACGATTTTGGGCCATGTCACGCAAAGCATCTAACCAATGGTTCAATAGTGAAGTAGATCATAACCAGGTGACCTATAACTTCGTACAACACCCAGTCAACAACTTTATGGACTGACATCATGTCTTGATTTGGCCACTCTTGGCATTGATCCAATCTATGTCACACTAAACACTGCACGCCGATGTAGACAGTGGTTGGGTGTACATCATACATATTATAACCACCTCAATTGGTGAAGATTCGCTACTTTCCATCTCTACCTAGTACTCTGTTTGACCCACTAGATGGTCCCATAATACATGAGCGATAGTTCAAAAACGCCTGTGATCGAATACTAGTAACCTACGAATATGCTCTATTCTTAATGGCCGGACTCCAGACCTATAGGGCAGAGCGGACTGCTGGGCAGTGAACTTGTCCCTTGGTCGGGAGATTGATAACTTACCTATGCCACAATTTACGTAAGTTGGTAGGAGCTAATCGAGCTTTCTGAATCTGCGCTGTGATTTCATCAAACACTAGCGCAAAGACGGACGAGATATCCGAGATAAGGAAGGCGGGACTAACAAACAAAACAAATTTCCTGACTCCTTGCTATTCTGTAGCTTCTATAACACTACTGTGATTGAGTGTTATCTACAGAGGCTTGTTAACTGTTCAATCTCTCAGTTAAGTGCACAATTGAAGTGTTCTGCAAAAAATGGTTAGAAGCTCTTGCTTCCCTGAATGCTAGTTGTGTACATGACTCACTAAGACTCTAGCACGAGTTTAAGATGAAGCAATTTTCTTTACCTACCACTGAATTCTTTACATTTTAGGTGATGGAAGAGATTTGTATCGCAGGCGGACGCTTTTGGATGTGCTTGGTGGCTTGATTGGGAAGCTTCAACATCGCTCCGGACATCGTCAGTGCATAATTCATACAGAAGTAGCTGATTTAATTAATCTACAAGCGCTAAGTCAGCCTGTTCTGACGAGTGTTTGAATAGTTCTTTTCAGGAGTGGAGTAAGAATTGTAGCTGTCTAAGATGATAATTAGAGCTCCACAATTAAACCACCTAGTGTATCGTGCTTACCAAACTTATATCAACTTCAAAAAGGACTAAAAGTGGTGCAGTCAGAGCATGAAGTCACCGGCTGTCAATAACCTAGCAGATAGAAATAAGTCTCCTAGTTGGCTAATTAATTGTTTGAATATTCTGGTGACAACAAACACGCTGTTAGTGGGACATCTTTCAAATTCCTAAACATTATTTTTACAATACACTTTACTTTTCTCTTACTATCTCTACCGTCTTGGTTATTCACTACTAGTGGAGTAAATGACATTCGAACTAGAAAATTCCTGCATCATATACATCTACATAATTGGAAGTTGAGTATAAACAGCCAATGAGCTAAGAAGCATACACATAATTGTTATCCGGGTTTTAGTCCGAGTGCACATTTTACTCTGTTGACTAGTTATACATAAAAATGAAGACAAAAACCGGTATATGAATCAGTAGGATGAATTGTGGTAAGTCATAATACTTGAGGACTGATGACGACTGGCGTCGAACAATCAGTTGAGTGGAACTCGTCATTATACATCAACTTCATTGATTATGAAAAGGCATTCGACAGTGTAGATAGGAGGACGTTATGGAAACTTCTTCGACACTACGGAGTTCCTGAGAAGATTGTCAATATTATCCGGAACTCATACAACGGACTACACTGCAAATTAGTGCATGGAGGACAGCTGACAGATGCATCCCAAGTAAGGACCGGAGTCAGACAAGGCTGTCTACTCTCTCCCTTCCTCTTTCTTCTGGTGGTCGACTGGATTATGAAGACCTCAACATCTGAAGGAAAACACGGAATACAATGGACAGCTCAGAATCATTTAGACGATTTGAACTTCGCAGATGACCTAGCCCTTTCATCGCGTACACACGAACAGATGCAGATGTAGACAGCCAGTGTAGCAGCAGTATCTGCATCAGTAGGCCTCAGCATACACAGAGGGAAAACCAAAGTTCTCAAATTCAAAGCGGAAAACAACAATCCAATCACTCTTGATGGCGAAACTCTGGAAGATGTAGAATCCTTCACATACCTAGGAAGCGTCATCGATGAACAAGGAGGTTCAGATGCAGACGTAAAGGCGAGGATCGGCAAAGCAAGGGTCGCATTCCTACAATTGAAGAACATATGAAACTCAAAACAACTATCTGTCATACAATATCAAAGTGAGAATCTTCAATACGAACGTCAAGGCAGTTCTACTGTATGGAGCTGAAACTTGGAGAACTACAACAACCATAATCAAGAAGGTACAAGTATTTATAGATAGTTGTCTACGCAAGATACTCAACATCCATTGGCCGGATATCATCAGCAACAGCCTTCTGTGGGAGAGAACAAACCAACTTCCAGCTGAAGAAGAAATTAGGAAAAGACGATGGAAATGGATAGGACATACATTACGCAAATCGTCAAACTGCATCACGAGGCAAGCCCTAACTTGGAATCCTGAAGGGAAGCGAAAAAGAGGAAGGCCAAAGAACACATTGCGTCGGATAATAGAAGCAAACATGAAAACGATGAATTACAACTGGATGGAGCTAGAAAGGATTGCCCAGGACAGGGTTGGATGGAGAATGCTGGTGAGCGGCCTATGCTCCTTCACGAGGAGTAACAGGCGTAAGTAAGTAAGTAAGATGACGACTGGACAACAACAATTAGATCTTTCATGGATGTTAAATACAATAAATGTAGTCGTAACCACTTAATGATAAAGATCTTCATTCACAAACAGACTGATCAACATAAGATTATTGGCATTATTTCCCTGGAAGCTGTTCTTCTTAGCCCTCATTATTCGAACTTTTTTCGAATTCAAAACTTCAAATAACTAATTCTAATGTTGTGCTGTGAACATGTATTATATGGAAACCACTGTAATGAATAATTTATCAGAAGTGGGTTATGAACCAGAAACCTAGAGGTTGATTGCTGGATGTCAAAAAGGATGAGCCAGAACTTTGCGTAATATACAGCTACGGAATGCAAGAAAACTGAGGTAAACCATTTGACTCACGATTTATTTCTCGTAAATACAACCCAAATTTGATGTACGACAACCACCACATAAAAACGTTTATTTAGTCTCTAGATTACCTATTTCAGTATTTTAATCACAAAAGTCAGACAGCGTCTTATTATAAACCAGTTTTCTTTGTTCAGTCTAACTACTATGTAGCTATAGTTGATAATATTATGTAAGTAATACAGACAGCTACTAGTACAAGAAATATTCATTATTAGAGCAAACTTTAGGTAACAAGTCAATGGCTATATTAAGTGGGCAGTTGGGCTATTGGGAAAAATACAATGGACTGCTGAGAATATAGTATATAATAGAATAGAGAAAATAATTCACCACTTAGAGAGCGCTGAAGCAAAAATTGGTTGGACTTTAGTTAAACCGACTTAATGTAATGCGGATTTTAACCTAGTTGGAGGGCAAAACTCGTAATCTATAGTGAAACAAAACATGTTTCGAAAATATTATTGATCTAATACTCTTCACACTAAATATCGAAGTATTATAGCATAAACCACGGTTACATTATTTATTTCCAGCAAGACAAAGATTATTGCGCCGGCTGTGTTCTGAATAAGAATGAGAAGTCCATTATAAGTCATATTGACAATTCACAAACAACCACGTACCAATTTATAAATAAAACAAAAGGGAAACCGAGAGAAGAAAAATCACTGAATTTAGAGTTACTGTAGGCAAGAGCATACCAATACGAGCACAACAGGTGTACTCAGAGATCAATAAGTGGAAAGAAAAATAACAGTTACGAATAGGAATGAAAAGTTCTGTATACTGTACAACCAGAAACGGTTAAGCCCTAAAAATAGTGGAAGAACTATGAGTTAGTTACAAAACAAAGATGATTTGTCAATTAAACTAATCTCCGAACTTCAAAGAAACGTTTGAGATAGAAAACTTGGCCGATACTCATGGCTATGATTAGAAATGCTTCGAACGCAGCCCAAACGACCACGCGAAAATTGGTATTCTTATTAACTAAAAAAAATTGTTGTTCACATAATACACAAACATACTTTCCCAGTGTACTTGAGTCCTAACAGAAACATATTCCATTTCTAACTTGACCCCAGAGATGGAGTGTGATAACTCATTAACCATTGTTACAAGCTTTTTGTGCTCCTCTATGTGAAAATAACGGTTGAAGTTCTAATTTACCATCGTCAGTTTCATTTACTTTCAATTGGTCTTCTTCTATAGCCATTTCAAAAAGTACAACTTTCGGTGTCATAGAGCTCATCCGATTTCCGAAGCAATACTTGTACTCACCAGCTTCGTTTGCAGCAAATTCAGGCCTTCCATTGGACTTCCTGAGAGACTCGAAAACCTTAGCCCCACTAGGATTGTAAACCTAAAAGTGTCAGTTAACTGAACAAAGTGAAATTACATTAACATCTATATCAAGGAAACCACCCTCAGCAACTTCATAGTGAAGCGTGAGCTTGCTACCACTGGCAACCCGATCAAAAAAGCACTCTTCCGAATTAGCATCTACTACTACATAGTAGCCGTGACAATAAGTAACAAGCGAGGTGAAGAAAAACACAAACATCCACATTTTGAAATAATGACTTTAATTCGGCTGACGAGGACAGAGTCGCCAGCATGAAATAACAATTTCAATGTACAATGTCAGACTTCAGTCTCCAGCAGTAAGGATGTGAGGTTAGTGAAATACACTAAACCTTGTAATTTTAAATGCTTTGGAGATCCGATCTTACCTCATCTATCGACAGGTGATGATATTGCGTGTTACGGTAGAGAGTTCTAGTAATTGGATTGGTTTCAAATGGTTCTGGAGGGAATAGGAAGAGATTTCGCTCAAGAGGCTTCCGTATCTAATAGCAGTAGATCACCGATGAAAGAAAAGAAAAAAGAATTAGTAAGTTATAGCGAGATGCTGTTGTAGCGGCAAATAAATCCCCATAATAAATAGCTCTGTAAGTTTTCGACACTGGATGCTGACCACATTAGTTTCAATGGACTCACCTAGCTGAAGGCGCTCGGTCATGCATCCGCACTAGATCACGAGTGGAAACGCTGTGCTCAACAACCCTTGCAATCGTTAGCCAGATCAGATCAGTCGATCCTCGATATATTGATAGTCTATCAAATATATCTTCGAATCTCCTCGCCTCTGTCGTTTGATTTCACTTGGTGGGCATGATTCATAGTAGAAGGTGTTACTGGTTAAAGCGTTTTCAAACTCCAAATACCCGTGACATCTTCACGATCTTTAGTCCTTAAGAACATGTCAAGTTTTCTCTTAAATACTCCTTGAAAGTCTCTTGAACCAGAACTCTAGCATTTGACCACTCTTAAGGAATAGAAGGTACGTCTACAGTCATGCTGTGTTTAAGGTGATGCTAAGAAGTGTTTAGAATGCACTTCTAAGACCCTACACATACACACTATACACTTTCATCAAGATTGACAAACTACTGAGTGCACACTTTATCTGCTACCAAGCAAGATCGCAGGTACAGTGCTACTCCTCCCCCACTGCTGTTTTTCTGTTGTTATGAAACAAAGGCACGCCGCACTTTGTACAATCATATTTCTTCCGCAAAAGAACTTATTGCAAGGTTCCTAAGGGATATTCCTGATGAGATAGTGCTCAGAATATGGTATGTGAAGCAGTATTCTTACATTCGATTTCAGAAGGTGAATGTCTAACAGAGCATCACCTACATCAGTAGTGTTTGTGAACTTTACATGAATGAGTCTTGGGTGATTTCAGTGCTTGGAGTTCGTCTGGCAAGTGAGCCGTATAACGGTCAGTGGTTCAATTTCGAGATGTTTGGGCTTCCTGTTCAACTCTTCCCAGAGAATCTTGTCATTTTTATCTTGCAGATTGAGCGGATGATCAGAACCGTTTTTAAGGCCCGTCATTATGAACCGCCACGAACCGGGATCATCTTACCAGGTTTCCCGGTACGTTGAGGTTGTCGGAAATTTTGTTCGGTAGTTGGAATGCGTTTCGGATTACCGTGCTCTTTGCAAAACTGGTCCGTGTGCTAATTAAAAACGGCAGTGATATTTTTCCTCGCTGAGTAAATTTTATTGTTTTGATCGTTGATTACGTATCAAGACTACTGTTTTCGCTTTATTTGAATTTATTTCAGTTAAAGTATCCAACTAGAGTATCGTTTATTGTTTCTCAATTAGTTTATCGTTGGTACTCTTGAGTATCTTATTTTCTACTGTATCTGTTAGTACATTTGGTTCTCACAACCTACAGTTCTGCACTTTTTTGGTCATAGATCATTTTTTGTCTCTAAGCGTTATTGTATTTCGCTGGCAGTTGCCAACGTCCGGGTTGTACTTATCCCGTTGAAAGCAGCATGCAGTGCGACGAGTGCAAAGGCTGGTACCACGAAGTTTGGACGATTTAACTCCTGCGGCTTTCAAAAGGTTCAGTAAATAGGGTCGCGTTTGGCTTTGTCAACAGTGCTGTTCGGATGCAAACAGCTTTTTAACTGAAGCCATCTCACTGGTAGATACCGCGAAAAAGTGTTTTAGCGTAGTTGGGACACATCAAACAGCACTCGCTCTGTCGACACGCAAATTGATGTGAAGCAAACTCAGGTAAGTTCGAAAATAGGTGATTCACCTCGAAAAAGGAGCAAATACAGTCTCCAAAGAGGTCCGTCTTAAACACAAACTAAAGAAAAGAAGGTTCTTCTGTTCCCCGTCTTCCAAATGGCATCCAGCAGGAAACACCTGGAAGCCTCAATCGCAAGGATCGATCGGTTTCTAGCGGGAAACATAACCTGATCTCTCAGGTCGTCGACAACCCCTCGGAATCCAGCATTAGGTTTGACGCAACTGTTGTTGCTTCTCCTAGCACCGTTGACGAACGGGCTAAGGTTGTAAGGAAGAAACAACGTAGTAATAAAATAGGGAATCCTAACACCGTATAGTAGTCGATAAATCGAAGGCTGATCACAGTGACAGATCAGTTATTTTTCATAGAATCAAAGAGAGTGAGAGCTCTGAACCAAAAGCTCGTTTTGAGCATGACATTGTGCTGATTAAACAGCTGCTTAATAAACTCATGACTCCAAGTATCACCGGTGTCACCTAGCTAAAGGTGTACAGACTGGATAGTTTAGCGAACTTGAAACTTAATCAATCCAGACTGCTTAAAGTAGTATTCAAATCTTCGAACGAACGCGACCTAATTTTACAGAATGGACATAAATTAAAGGGTTCAGGGGTTTTCGCCATTGGCAGACCGTGTAAAATGACGGGAAGCCGAAAAAGAACTACAACTTAGTTTAGACGCTGGCGAAAAGGACATAAAAATTGAAAATTTTCGGTTTGTAAGGCTTCGACAGAGAATGATGCCGAAGCCACTCTGGGTGAAGCACGAAGGCACTTAAACAGGCTTCGGATCTGTTACACCAATGCACGAAGCTTACTTAATAAGCGATCGGAACTAGGTGTACAGATTGACTCTACGAAGCCAGACACAATCGCAGTTACAGAAACCTGGCTAAGACAGGCTATAGATAGTATGGAACTTGATTTCGAGGGCTTTACGTTAGTAAGAGTCGACAAAATAAAAAAGCGTCAAGGAGGGTAGCTCTGTTCATTAGGAATGCTATTCCATTTACCATTATCGATAGTGTATCCCATGAGAGTGGGACGTGTGAATTAGTTAGTCTTCGCTCAAAATGCAAGGGACAAGAGCTGTTGATTGGTTTGGTCTATCGCAGTCCAAGCTGTGAGGCAAATGAGATCCTGTTAAGCAGTCTCAATACTTGGTCCCAAAGTGGTCGATGTCTAATCCTAGGGGACTTTAATGCACCTATGGTAGACTGGGAAAATCTGCGAACTAAATCGTCGGAGAATTCTTTCGAGCGGGAACTAGTTGATGGGGTTATCACATGTGCTCTAGTGCAACATGTGAAAGAAGCGACAAGGTACGATCCGGACACTGAATCATCCTTATTAGATCTTATACTGACTCACTATGAGGATAATGTTGCGAACCTCCACCATATGCCACCCTTAGGCAAAAGTGACCACGCAGTTTTAACTTTCGACTTCCATATAACTGCCAGTCATGAGGACGCGTCAGTCCAGTCCAGAGCCAACGTCTGGAAAGCAAACATACCAGACATCATGCACTCAGCATCGTTAATAGATTGGACAATAGACCCAGAGTCCTCCATTGAAACGGCCTGGGACGCATTTCGAAAATCATACTTAAAAGTTACCACACTGCACATCCCTTGGACTATACCAAAGGGGCCGAAAAACTCACCGTCATGGTTCAGTAGGGAGGTCCGTATCCTTCTCCGTAAGAAAAGGAAAACGTGGGATAGATTTAGGTTACTGGGGACTGATGAGTCAAAATCTCAGTATCGAAAGGCTCGGAACACTTGTGCCTCGACCCTCCGTAAGTCTAGAAAAGTGTACGAAGAAAAACTTGTTAAGGAATCCATAGAATGTCCTAAACGCTTGTATTCCTATATAAACCAAAGGACGAGGAGAAAACAAAATATTCCTGCTCTATGGGGAGACAGTACTGCTTCATCATTAGTGGAGGACGACTTTGGTAAGGCTCAAGTGTTCTCGAACTACTTTAGCAATGTATACACCATAGAAGCACCCTTCCCATCAGCACATACAAATCTCTCCACACATACACTGGATAGCGTGACCATTAAAGAACTCGATGTCTTTGGTCTGCTAAATAAGCTTGACATAAGTAAATCCACGGGGCCCGATGGATTGCATCCTAGGCTACTGAGGGAATTATCGAACTTCGTTGAGAACCCTTTAAGCATATGCTTTAATCTATCCGTAACGCCGAGTCGTTTGCCAAAAGATTAGAAGTACGCCACATTAAGTTCTGTCTTCAAAACAGGTACGAAACACAATCCTGAGAATTACTGGCCCGTTGGCCTAATTAATGTGGTTGTTAAAATCTTAGAAAAGATTATTCGGAAGGAGCTGTTTAAGTATCTCGATGAGAACCGGATCCTTTCGCAGAAGCAGCACGGTTTCAGAACAGGTTATTCTTGTCTCACTAACTTATTAATGGCTCATGAAAGCTGGTGCGCTCTTAAGGACCAAAAGTTACCTGTAGACGTAGCCTTCATTAATTTCAGCACAGCTTTTGGCAAGGTTCCGCACAACCGGCTGTTATATAAGTTAAGTAATGTCGGGGTTGGAGGTAATTTATTAATGTGGATAAAAGACTTCGTAGTTGGGCGTCAACAAGGAGTAAGGGTGAACTCAAAGTTATCTAGCTAGGAAACTGTGCTTAGTAGAGTGCCCCAGAGTACAGTTTTGGGGCCAGCACCTGATATGCCCTCATTTTTCTCGTCTTTCAAAACAGAGAATTTACGAGGACACTGCAAAAAAGTTCATAAGCCGAGAACAAATTACTTGTCAGCTGACTATGGACTTTCCCGTCGAATCATCAACGAGTGGAATTCATTACCTCAGCACGTGGTTGAGGCTCCACCCGTCGACTCTTTCAAAAGAGAGTTTGATTAACTGAGAGACCATCATGCCTGGACTAACACAGGCCATCAAGTCTCC